CCCTTGCCACAATTTTTATAAAGCTCGTTATCTGTGAAATCTTTGTTTTTCAACTCTTAATTTTGAATAATTCAAAATTAGTGACATTTAAATTAAATGAAAATGGCATGACAGCATTTCAGGTAGAGTCTGCAAGCTACCTTCAATGTCAATTCAATAATTAGGAGTCCTTTAGACCCAGGAGTGGTCAAAAAGATCAGGAAATGTTAAGAGGGTCTCTAAGCTGACTCACAAACTTATGAGCCCATTAAATCAAATAAAGAACTTTTGTGAAAACAAGAAAAAGTAGTGATGATGACAGAAAAGAAAGAGCAATCAGGAATACCTTTTACAAAATGAGCCAAGAGATGGTGGTCGCACCCTGTAAGAGGCTGCTGAAAGTAGCCTGGCTTGTAAATATTAGGGACATGTAAGTTAAGGGCAAACAAAGCAAAGCCTGTCAAAAATGGTTTTAAACAAACAAGGCCAAGCACAAAAAACCTAAATCAACTTCTTGGTTTGCAGTCAAAGAAAGAGCTATGAGGATTAAAATATTTGTGTGAAGAATAAGGCTATGTGTGTAGAAAATAAAAAAAAAAAAAACTAAATTCTGCCTCCTGTGTAAAGACATCGTACATTCTAAATTTTCATTATCCTTATTTATTTGAAAGACTGGAACATAGAGATCTTCCATCTGCTGGCTCACACCCCCAAATACCCTCACCAGTTGGAGAAGGGCCAAGTCAAAGCCAAGAGCCAGGAGTTCACTCCATGTCTCCCACATGTGTAGCAGGAACCCAATTTAGTGGGAAACTGAAATTGAAAGCAGAGCTGTGACTAAAACCTAGGCCCTCCTTTGTGGAATGTGGGCATCCTGAGCAGTGCCTTTTCTGCCAAATGAACCTTTAGTATTTGCTAGCAGAGAAAAGTTTTCTGAGTAAGACATGATTATGTACACAGATATTGGACCCAGGAGTAGAGATTATGGAGATGATTTAGGGATAATACCAGCATTCCAATCGGTTATAGTTTGAATGGCAACACATCCTCGGGAGTTATGTGGACACTCTTTATTCCACAAGGAAGATGAAGCACCCAAGAATGATGAGCCAGAGAGAGAAGAGCCAGAGATTTAAACAGGCTTTCCAAAAAGACATCTAAGCTGACACATGGGTTAGTAGGAGTTAGTTGCCCAATGAGAAGGGGACAGGATTGTGCTGGAATTGAACATTTTTGGTGGAGATACCATCATGAGGAGAGGTGAAGGCAGTATGAGGGCCTGATGTAGTGGAGAGATGATGGAGAAAGAAAATAAGGGGTATTGGAAGCTACCAGTTATTCAGTGATATTCCCAGACCATGAATTTCAAGTTTGAAAGCAGCAGGAGATACTGTTGCAGATAAAGACCAAAACTGTGTATTATTCTTTTCCTTAGTAATGTCTAAATCCATCCCATGGCAATCCTCCAGTTCCCTGCAAAAGTACACCTTTTTTAATAATCACAATTTTAATTTATTTGGATATTCATTATAAGTAGGCAATTATTTGGAGAAGAAGAAACTGATAGATAATGGTAATTACCTCATGTTCATAGGTTTTGGCTACTGCGTTCTCTTCCTGCCACCATCTAATTTGGGCATTGTGGTTGGGTCCCTAGAACCCATCCTTCTCTTCCCCTGTCAAGTAGCGGTGTCAGCATGCTTTGGAGAATTAACCTTAGCTGAAGGTCACTTGGTTTAAGAATAATCCTGTCTCAACTAACATGGTTTTAGTTCAATGATCAGCATAAAATTCTCTCCTGGCCAGTAAGAAGAGATGTGGGGGAAAGAAAATCAAGCTCAAGCAAGCTCTCTGTTCTATAAGATGAGACCCAGAAGCTTACAGCTCTTCATGCTGTAAGGGCATTCAGGTTTAGGATAAAGATGATATGATAGATAACAAAATGGAGAGATTAAAAAAAACTGGAGGTAGGCACTTGGTGTAGCAGATAATGCTAGTGGTACCCACAACGAATATCAGAGTGTCTGAGTTTAACTCAAACTTAATGCTGCTGATTCCAGCTTTCTGCTAATATGCTCCTTGAGAGGCAGCAGTGACAATCCAAATAATTGTGTTCCAGCCACCCAAATCAGAGACCGGGATTGAGTTCCTAGCTCCTGGCTTTGGCCTGGTCCAGCCCTGTTTACTGTGGGCATTTGAGAAGTGGACCAGCAGATGGGTACTTGCTCTCTCTCTCTTTGCCTTTCAAATGAATTTTTAAAAATTAAATCAAGGTCCTTAATGACATTATGGGGTTGCAAAATCAGGAAACTCTTTATCTTATATGATTTCTAGACTTCCTGTTATAAAAGCAGGGCTACTGTATAAAATACAGGGGCCGGTGCTGTGGCTCACTTGGTTAATCCTCCGCCTGTGGTGCCTGCATCCCATATGGGTACCAGGTTCTAGCCCTGGTTGCTCCTCTCCCAGTCCAGCTCTCTGCTGTAGCCCAGGAAGGCAGTGGAGGTTGGCCCAGGTGCTTGGGCCCCTGCACCCGCATGGGAGACCAGGAAGAAGCACCTGGCTCCTGGCTGTAGACCAATGTAGTTCCGGCCGTGGCGGCCATTTGGGGGATGAACCAATGGAAGGAAGACCTTTCTCTCTGTCTCTCTCTCTAACGCTATTTGTCAAATTAAAAAAAAAAAAAACTAATACATTTCTTTACTACTTAATCCTGTTTGCATGTGCTCATCTATAATTTGAAATCATGTGCATCCTAAATGATCCACAATTTTTGTGACTTTCCACAGAGACCTTTTTGAACTTTTGTAACCATAACTCCTATGAGCCTTGTTTTCCTGATCTGTGAAATGAATATGATTATGTTTCATCGTTTTTTCATGAATATTATTTGAGATCCATATGAAAACCCAAGGAAGGAAACATGAACTAACATGCAAGTGCTTACTGTATACCATGAAATAGGCTGATTCTTCATTTTAAGAAACTTAGACAATTGGAGCAAAATCAGCCCAAAATAGTCACATAAAATTTGAGAAGTAAACTCTATATAAATCTTCATACAATCAGTTTTTTAAGTTATTCACTTAGATTCACTCAGGTGTTTGTTTGTTTGTTTGTTTGTTTGTTTTTACATCCAAGCACATGATCTAGCATGGAGTGTGTACAGAGTTACAGATGAGGAACAGCTTTAAGGAAAGTCACATTTGAAGAAGTAGCATATAACCTGAAACTTAAAGGATGAGTAAGAGTTAGGTGAAATATAGGGAAGAACACTGCAGGTGAAGAAAGGTGTATGAAGTCCAGGAGGTGAGAAGGAATTGGGTGAAGAGAAAAGGAAGTGTGTGTTCAAAGGGTGAGAATGAAGGATAACATGGTGACAGGTGAAGTTGGAAAAACAAGAAGGGGACACATAATGCTGGGCTCTTATCTCATGTAAAATAAAGCCATTAGAAAGTTTAAAGCAGAGGAGGCTTATGACATCACACACATTAAGAGCCTCAAAAAATCCACAGAAAATGCATATTATGAACAAACTATTGATGGATTTCAATTTTTTTGCCAAACATCTTTTAATTCTGCTTTCCGTGAAGTTTTAGAAACATCTTTATAAATACTGCTTTTGCAATGGGTGTGGAAGGGTCAAGTGAGGAAGAGCAGTTGGACTGATTAGGAATCTGCTGTGAAATGTGGCTGGCTGGGACAGGTAATGGCGAGGAGATAGAGCACCGTGGATGGATTGGGGCCGTGCTTATTGTGAAGAGCTACTGATGTGGGTGGTATGTGGACAGCATTGGCAAGTCATGGAGAGAGTGATGTCAAAGGTGACTCCATAGTTTACATGCAAATACAAGACTGGGCAAGATAAATATTTCTTGTAGGAGAGTCAAGGTTCAGTTTTCAACATGTTTAATTTCAGACATCTCTTTTGTATTTAACTTAGAATGTTGAGCAGTAATTTTATTTGTCTTACCTTTATGATAGAAGTCTGTCGAGTTAAAATTTCAGAGTCACTGTTGCGCGCATTTGAGGAATGAACCAGTGGATAGAATGCACTCATTCTCTGCCTATAAAATAAATTTAAATTATTAAAAGTAAAATGGAGGGCCGGCGCCGCGGCTCACTAGGCTAATCCTCCGCCTTGCGGAGCTGGCACACCGGGTTCTAGTCCCAGTCGGGGCGCCGCATTCTGTCCCGGTTGCCCCTCTTCCAGGCCAGCTCTCTGCTGTGGCCCGGGAGTGCAGTGGAGGATGGCCCATGTGCTTGGGCCCTGTACCCCATGGGAGACCAGGAGAAGCACCTGGCTCCTGCCTTTGGATCAGTGCGGTGCGCCGGCCGCAGTGCGCCAGCCGTGGCGGCCATTGGAGGGTGAACCAATGGCAAAGGAAGACCTTTCTCTCTGTCTCTCTCTCTCCACTCTGCCTGCAGATATAAAAAAAAAAAAAAAAAAAAAAAAAAGTAAAATGGAATCACTGCTTCTTTGCCTCTTAGCTTACTTAGATTATGAATTTTATTGAGATAAGTCTTTGTTTCCAGGGTCTGACCAGGAATAGCATTTAGGAAGTACTTGGTAAATTGATTGGAAGAATTTAAATGGGTAGACTTGAATGGATCCTTAAACAATAGAAAAGATTCAGAATGAGGGAATGAGCACCTTTCCAGCTGGAGACAGAGACACAGGATAACTGCAGGGGTTGGAATGATTGCATGTGTGGAAGGCAGCAGCTAAGTTGCCTTATCTGGTATCCTCATCAGTAATGTGGAGATTAATAACTTGCTCTAAGTCAGATAATATAGAACTGATGGATTTTGGGCTTGTACTTAAGTCTTTTTGATTCCCAAGCTCAGGATTTCATATACAGTGTTCTTTCCTCGTCATATTATTTCTTGTAGTTATCACACCACCTCTCAATTCACAGATGCCTTGTTTCTTCCCACTTAGGCCTGATGAAATATTTTCTGTCTTGAGCACTTTCTTTATGTGATTTGTTTTCTGAGTTCCATTTGTTCCTCTTTCTCAGCTCTCCACTGTGGTTTGAATCCACGGGGTATTGATCACCCTGCCCGTACTGAAGGTATTAAACTGCAAATTGAAGGTGAAGGTGTGGAATCTCAATCCATTAAAAACAAAAATTTCCAGAAGGTGCCAGACTCAAAAGGAACCCCCAAGCGACTGCAAGCAGAAGCAGAGACAGCTAAGGTAGGAAATAATCTGGTTAATTACAGAAACTCTAAAAGCTGCGGCTCTGATACGTTGTGGTCCAGCACAGAGAACTGATAACCCTTTCACTAATTACTGTTGAGCTCTCGGTTAAGTAAGCACTGCATCTTAATGATAAGTAATAATAGATGAAAATATTGACTACACTCCCTTTGGAATGAAATTGAGACACATTTGTGGGCAGCCTCTTAGCAAGAGGCTCTGAGCTATGCTTTGTGGAGAAGATTGCCTTGAACTTATAGCTAAAACCTCCATTTACCAGACTCAGATTTACCATATTATCTTTTTGAGCAAGTCATATAACTCTCAGATCCAGATTCTTCATTTCCAGAATGAGAATTATGAAAACTAACTCCCACATTAGGTTTATCAACGCAAAGAGCTCTATGCTTGTAGAAGCGTTTATTTTTATTTTTTGGGAGGGAGGGAAAGAACAACCTTCCATCTACTGATTCACTCCCCAAATGTGGAAGTGCTTTAAAAAGCCCCAACATCGCATGCATATGAGGGGTGTTTGCTGACATTGTAATTGATATTTCATGAAATGCAGGTGGGTGCATGCAAATATGCATGTGTGTGCGCGCGCACACACATACATTTCTGGCAGTATGAAGGGCTCTTCTTCTTCTGGTTTATTTGTCCCTGTACCAGTTCTGTGAGATAGACAAATTTAACAAGGCCTCCAATTAATAGGGCAAATTTCTTTTTTTTTTTTTTTTTTTTTTTTTTTTTTTGCTGTGGATACTTAGTTCCTCTTAGTTTTTAGCCAAAATGTGGGTACTATAAAACTGATAAAATTCACAGTGGGTTGATAGCTCTTAACTGTAGACATCCTATTCCAAAGGTTTGCTCTGATGGAACTGGCAGATGTTAATGTTCATACATAGTGTTGAAGATGTATAAATTTGACCCCTGGAAATTGAGGAAATTAGCTGTCATGGCATTTGCTTTCTCCTCTTGTATATTCTCAGCATGCAGATTTCCTTTCAAATATTTGTTAGGTGAATCAATGTATGACATTTTTGGAGAGCAGATGTTATAAGCTTCCAGGGAATATCTTAAATAGAAAGGTCATTTTGCTGTTATGCAATGACCACTTCCCTTTTCTCTCATATAATTTCTTCCAAATCAAATGTGATTTTTTTTGGCTTTATGTATAGTCTTTAACAGTTACTGTAATCACTTTGCTTATTTAATGTGAAAAATTTAAAACTCATGACATTGGATATATGTGTATGTGTGTGTCTATGTGTGGAGTAGGAGCAGGGAGTGATTAGCAGGAAAGATTGTGGGTATTTTGCACTAAACATTTTAGCTGAGAGAAATTAATTACACTTTGTAGGAAATTGGTTGATGATCATTGTCGTTTGGTTTGTGAGGAGAGTTCGAAATAAGTGAACCTTATTATGACATCTAAACCTGATCGATGCATTGTGCCACAAAAGCCACAGTCTTGAGCCAGCCAAGAAATAGATCTTAAGGATTTTCTTTTACAATGAAGATGAATAGTTGAGTAGGATCTTTTCAAGAGAATGCTTAAAATATTAAAACTGGGGCCGGTGCTGTGGCGCAGCAGGTTAACGCCTTGGCCTGAAGCACTGACATCCCATATGGGCACCGGTTCGAGACCCGGCTGCTCCACTTCCAATCCAGCTCTCTGCTGTGGCCTGGGAAAGCAGAAGATGGCCCAAGTCCTTGGGCCCCTGCACCCACGTGGGAGACCCGGAGGAAGCTCTTGGCTTCAGATCGGCACAGCTCCAGCCGTTGCGGCCAACTGGGGAGTGAACCAGTGGATAGAAGACCTCTCTCTCTCTCTCTCTCTCTCTCTCTCTGTGTGTAATTCTGACTTTCAAATAAGAAAATAAATCTTTTAAAATATTAAAATTAAGAACTGTGTATGTAAAATATATGAAATCTCTTCTCTTAATATAAATAAAATTATTAAAAATTAGATGGGGAAGGGCCAGCCTGTGGAATAGTAGATAAAGCTGCTGTCTGCAGTGCCAGCTTCCCATATGGGCACCGGTTCAAGTCCCAGCTGTTCCACTTTCAATCTAGCTTTCTGCTATGGCCTTGGAAAGCAGTGGAAGATGGGCCCCTGCACCCACATGGGAGACTGGGAAGAAACTCCTGGCTCCTGGCTTCCAATCAGCTCAGCTCTGGCCATTTTGGTCATTTGTGGAGTGAAGCAGTTGATGGAAGACCCTCCCCCCCCCCCTTCTGGCTTTGCATCTCTCTGGGCAGTTGGAACACTTAACCTGTGCTGTTACATTTGAGTAGTAGTCCTCTAAGAGTAGAGGACACTCTTAGCAATGAAGCCTTTGCACCTTGAGTCAGGGTGTTGCAGCAGAGATACTCAGGTGTGTTCAGCAACAATTTCTCAGAGTCAGGGTTTCTGTTGTAGAAATTGAAACTGGAATAGTGCTGGGGCCAAACTGTACATGGATTTTAATTCCTGCTGAGGCATATGGATTTACTTTTTTACCCATATGACCTAGTGTAGTGGCCTCTAGTTATGTGTGACTATTTAAATTTACTAAAATAGAAAAAGATTAAAAATTTATTTCTTTCATCATACCAACACAGTTCAAGTGCCCAATCATCACAGGTATCTAGGAGCTGCTATTTTGGACAGTGTGGACACAGAGCATGACTATCATGGCAGAAAGTTCTGTTGAACCATTCTACTTTAATCAGGGTGGAGGACTGTTGAAGTTTTCTAGAAATAAGAATAAAATGAAAAATGAAATTTAGTTGACATTCCCTCTGACTGGTGTCCTTCAGCCTATGTGGATACATGATACAGTCATTAGAAAAAAGGTTAAAATACTCGGGATTCCAATTGAAAGTGGTATTCTTAACAACTGTGATGGTTGGAATTTGAGTTTCCATGGCAACTGCAGCAGTGGATTCAGATCATCCCCTGAGTAGGAAGTCCTGGCTGTTCCCATCTTGGAATTCTGGGGTGTGTCCTCACAAGTTGCCTAAACACAGCAATGGGGAAGTATAACTTCTGGACTTGATTGTTCTGGCTGCTCACAAGGACGCTTCACCAGGCTGTTTTTATGCCTGTCAAATAAGGGCTTCCAAGAATAAAAATCCTTGTTTTTCCCTGCCATGATGCCAATTTATGAACCCAGCACTCTCTATGAATACTTCACATTTGCATTTGTATACCATACTTTTTATTTATAAAATTGGTATCCCCATTTTATAGCTGAGAAAGCCAAGAGTAAATGATTCACCAACCTGTAGTCTCTGGGAGATAACTACAGGAAGATGGAACTTAAATCTATGCCTAATGTCTCTAAATTCAGAGTTTGTATTTCCTAATATTAAATGTACAAATAATCTGTTTATTTGAAAAACAAATATAATCAGTTACACTGAGAATGTGGCCAGCTATGCACAATAAGAGGTTAAAACACTGCATGGATTCTTTACTCCTTGGAGAGAAACACAACAAATTTTGAATGTTGTATTATATAAGGGAGAAACAATGCCAGCATCTAAAACAGTGAATAATTGCTTGCACTTGGCTTTGGGATACATTATGTGAATCTTTGGCAGCAGCTAGCCTTTTCTCATTAAGTTAATATTAGATTTAGTTTGTATTTCTTTGGCACGGAGTTAAAGGAATTGGCCTGGAACTTGGTGCCAGGGACAGGAAGAGGAGAAAGGCTGGTACTTTGGATATGCTACAGGTGGATAAATCACAATTGACTACAGGGCAACTGGTGGATGTTTGTAAGGGTGCATAGGAACCATTACTCAGGGATTAAAATAGAAAGCTAAGAGAATTTAGACTTAGGTTAAAAGATGAAGGGTGGATTGTACTTAACCTTGATCAAATTACATTGCTCAGCTGCTTCTGAGAAGGTCTTTGGCAATTCGGGGATAGAATGATCTCATTCTTGGCTATCAGTATTCTTGGCTCAAGGAAAAAGGAAAAAGAGTGTCTCCAAATGAAACTGCCAACCTGATCTCATGCCACCAATGATAGCAAAGGACATAATGCATGAAATGTAATGAGCACATACTTAAGAACTGTCAAGAGTCAGAACAAGAGACAAGCAAAACTGAATAAGTTCCAGGGCCACAATACTTAAATACATTGGTTCTTCGGATTCATCTCAGGAGAAATACAGTAAACTCATATTTGAAGAGGCAAGCCTTTATTACTGAAAAGCATGACAATAAATAAGGTGTATTTAAGCCATAGATTGACTGTAAAATCAACAAAGAAGAAAGTCCAGGTAGCATTTGATAATCCAATTTATTTTACAGGTGAGGAGCTGATCCTCAGATGAGATTAAATGGCTTTTCCAAGATCTTGAACTCATAGTGACAAAATGTAGCCTAAAGCAGTTCTAGCAAATGTTCAGTGCGTTTGGCTCTTTTGAACTTACGAATCTACATGAAACTGCACATGCTATAAGCATTTTGGTTAATGGTTTCTCTGGTGGACTAAGACTACAGAGCATGCCATGTAAGGATAATAGAGTGCCCAGTTACGGTTCCATTGACACTTTTGCCACAGCACAGGTAGGCTCTGAAGAAGAGGGCATTTGAGTTCTATAGATGGTCTATTAGTACTCTTCCCACCATTCTTTTCCAGCCTGAAACTCTGAAGATCAATGTACAACCATTACAGCCATGACAAAAATTTATGAATCATAATATTCAGACTTAAGACATTTCAGAATTGCATGCATCCATGTGAAAATGAATATACAACTGGTACTTGAGAAACAAAAGCTTAGATACAATTCAAGACTGCATTGAGTTCATTCTGCATGATAATGCTTGAAAAGGGCACACTGGATCAACCTGGAGGAATCTGTGGGCCCTTGGCAAATGCAGCCCACTGAAGTACTCAAGAAACAGGTAGTATAGAACACACAGAAGGATGAGGCATGAAGAACAGTGGAGGGTTGTAGAAGAAAGCAGTGTATGGTCTTTGCCCTCACCCAAAGCAA